TTACTGCCTCTTGCCTCAAAACATCCTGCCTATATCAAAGACACCAACCGACTTTGTGGAAAAGGTAAAGAAACTCGTGATCCCAGAAAATGCCCTTTTAGTCTCTTTAGACGTTCAAAGCATGTATACTAAAATTGACAATGATTCTGGATTACGCGCTGTAAAGCAGGCATTCGAGCGAAAGCCCGATCCTGATAGACCAGATAAAGAAATTCTTGAACTTTTGGAAATTTGTTTAAAACGTAATGACTTTACTTTCAATGAAAATATTTATCTTCAGGCTTCAGGAACTGCCATGGGAAAACGCTTTGCGCCCTCTTATGCAAACATTTTCATGGCAGAATGGGAAAGAGAAGTTTCACTCCTCTGTCCCAAACTACCAATTTTTTATGTAAGATTTCTTGATGATATTTTCTTAATTTGGACTCATACAATAGATGAATTTTGGGAATATTTTGATACTCTCAAGAGCCACCACCCTTCTGTAAAATTAACTTCTAATACTAGCGACAAACAGATTGATTTCCTAGACACCACAGTTTTTTGATACTCACCAACTTTTATTCAAATCATCTTTTCATCCTAAACATACCTTTTCTGGCATTATAAAGTCGCAGATCTTGAGATTTCACCGGATTTGTACGCGCAAGAAGGACTTCGAGGAGGCTTGTTCAATTGTTTTCCAAAAATTGCGCGAACGTGGATATTCTAGAAGGTTCTTGAGAGGTATTAAAAGCTCAACCGTTACTGAAATCTCTGCTAAAAATAATTCGATTCTTTTGCCAATACCAAATTCTTCAGTTTATCCTTGTAACAACCCTCGCTGTCAAACCTGTCCCTTCATTTTACCAACAAATTCTTTCCGAAATAGACGCACAGATTCCATATTTCAAGTAAATAAAAAACTCAACTGCAACAGCAAAAATATTATTTATCTCATTTCTTGCACAAAATGTGACGAACAATACGTTGGGAGACAAAAAATTCGTTAAGGGTCCGTTTCAACCATCATAAGTCTGACATCAACTTAAAAAAAATTAATAAAACCGTTTCAAAACACTTCAATCAACCCGATCACCAATTAACAGACCTGAAAATTATTCCCATTGAACAGATATACGAACAACCTGGCATTGATACAAAGAAAATTCGACTCATTCGCGAAAATTATTGGATAAACAAATTACAAACCATGCATCCTTTGGGAATGAACATCCAAGTTGATTTCCAAATTATACCTTTTGTTATTCAATACAACAACACAGCTGGTCAAGTTCCCCGAATAATTATCCGTCTTTACAAAGAATTGCAGGAAAAGTCTTTACAGTCTTTACAAATGATTTAGTTATCGCCTATACCCGTAATAAAAATCTAAATGATATCTTAGTCCGTGGTAGATTACCCCCCATCCCCCTTCCATAGGTTTAGTACATTTCCTTTAATTAATATTTCTTATTTATGATAACTTGCAATTGAAGAGTTCCTCGCAAAAATATCATACATGTATACTATTTTCACTTAATAAATCATATATATTTTTTATATGAAATACGCATTTTCCTTTTCATTTAATATAGGACAATTCCTCAGTTTCACCAGTGAAAATGTTTATCATGATTTCCATGGTTATTAATGTTCCTGTTGGAACCAGTATTCTTCTTTTATATTTCAGATTCGGAGGTTATTGGATTTGCATTTCAAATATTCTATATCACTCTTTTAAACTAACTTCACAAACATTGCTCTATCACTAGAGGTTACGCCTACATGCCTGTGCCTGTGCTTTCGTAACATTGCTTAACCGCAATATTACAACCTTAAATTCCTAAACCAAAATGACTGTTCATACCACATTTAAGGATTAGTGATGAAAAGCGATCAAAGTATAGTTCAGTATCGATTGTTGCAAATCGAATTTTCTGTTTCAATATGTCAGTATTCCGAGATTGAACTAACTAATGTCATTTATAGTGGTGTCATTTCTCATTTCAGATAAATTGTTTCTATTATTCATCAACTGAAAATTTGACATCTCCGAATATCGCATTGTTTCAAAACGGTTATTTCGAGAATAACTTTCTTTGTATCTTAGGGTGAAAGGGCATGTAGGGGCCACATAATTATATTATGTAAAAACGCCGCTGTTCATGAACTGAAATAAAATGAATGAGAATGAGAAGTCATCCAAAAAGCGCTGACAATTAGCCTACTTGGGAAAAAAAACATGAACTAATTCATGATATTAAAGCTTTGATGAAAATTTTTGTAGGTTTGCCCCAAAGCCAATATTGAATATTGAGTGATAATAGCAAATAATATCTCATATCAATTATATCTTACGGAAGCGTATTAGGGCCATTCATTTTTTTTTAATTTTCAAGTTAGTATGTTGAATTTACAAGCTAGTATGTTGAATTTTCAAGTTAGTATGTTGAATTTTCAAGCTAGTATGTTGAATTTTCAAGTTAGTATGTTGAATTTTCAAGTTAGTATGTTGAATTTTTAAGTAAGTATGTAGAATTTAGTAACGTGAATTTTCAAGTAAGTATGTTGATTTTTCAAGTTAGTATGTTGAATTTTCAAGTTAGTAACTTAAATTTGCAAGTTAGTAACTTCAAGCTACTAACTTGAAAATTCAA